AAAATTGGGTGTTTGGGGGGTTTGAATCCTGAAATTCCCGGTGGGAAAGGGGGGTCCTGAGCCCGGGATTTGGGATTTGGGGTTCCCGATCCCGGGATTTGGGGTTCCTGAACCCCACATTTGGGATTTGGGGTCGGCAGAACCGGGGGACACTCGGGCGACACTCGGGGACACCTGGGGACACTCGGGGGACACTTGGGGACACTTGGGGGATACGGGGGGACACTCGGGGGATACCCGGAGACACTCGAGGGACTCTGGGGGACACTCGGGGATGCTCGGGGGACACTCGGGAAACACCGGGGGACACTCGGAGGATACTCGGGGATGCTCGGGGGACACTCGGGGATACCCGGGGACACTCGGGAAACACCGGGGGACACTCGGGGGATACTCGGGCACACCTGGGGGACACCGAGAAACACTCGGGGGACACCAGGGGACACCCGGGGATACTTGAGGACACTCGGGAGACACCCGGGGATACCCGAGGAACATCGGGGGACACTCAGAGACACTCGGGAGACGCTGGGGGATACCCGGGGACACCGGGAGACACCCGGGGACACTCGGGGGACACCCGGGGCACACCGGGGGAATACTGGGGGACACCCAAGAACACTCGGAGGGTACTCAAGGACACTCAGGGGATACCGGGGGACACCTGGGGACACTGGGGGACACCCGGGGATACCTGGGGACACTCGGGGGATATCGGGGGATACTGGGGGACACCCGGGGGACACTGGGGGGATACGGGGGGACACCAGGGGACACACGGGGGATACTCAGGGAACACCGGGTGACGCTTGGAGACACTCGGGGGACAACGGGGAATACCGGTGGACACTTGGGGAACACTGGTGACCCCGGGTGACACTGGTGACCCTGGGTGACACTGGGAGACACTGGGTGACCCTGGTGACACTGGGTGTCCCCACAGACCCTGTACACGTACCCCGAGAACTGGCGGGCGTTCAAGGCGCTGATCGCGGCTCAGTACTCGGGGGGCACTGGGTGACCCTGGTGACACCGGGTGTCCCCACAGACCCTGTACACGTACCCCGAGAACTGGCGGGCGTTCAAGGCGCTGATTGCGGCTCAGTACTCGGGCGCGCGGCTCCGGGTGCTCTCCGGGCCCCCCCACTTCCACTTCGGCCACACCAACCGCAGCCCCCAGTTCCTGCAGAAATTCCCGCTGGGAAAGGTGGGTGCTGACTCCGGGATCCGGGATTTGGGGGTTCTGATTTTGGGGTTTGGGGGTCCTGACACCGGGATTTGGGGTTCAGGGGATTCGGGTTTGAGGTTTTACCCCAAAAATTGGGGGTTTGGGGGGTTCAGACCCCGCAGTTCCTGCAGAAATTCCCGCTGGGAAAGGTGGGTGCTGACTCCGGGATTCGGGATTTGGGGTCCTGATCCCAGGATTTGGGGTTCAGGGGATTTGGGGTTTGAGGTTTCACCCCAAAATCCCAAAAATTTGGGAGTTTGGGGGGTTTGAATCCTGAAATTCCCGGTGGGAAAGGGGGGTCCTGAGCCCGGGATTTGGGATTTGGGGTCCTGAGCCCGGGATTTGGGGTTCCTGAGCCCGGGATTTGGGATTTGGGGGTCCTGAGCCCAGGATTTGGGGTTCCTGATCCCCACATTTGGGATTTGGGGTCCCTGATCCCGGATTTGGGGTTCCTGATCCCGGGATTTGATGTTTGGGGTTCCTGATCCTGGGATTTGGGGTCCCTGATCCCGGGATTTGGGGTCCCTGATCCCCACATTTGGGGTTTGGGGTCCCTGATCCTGGGATTTGGGGTCCCTGATCCCGGGATTTGGGGTTTGGGGTCCCTGATCCCCACATTTGGGGTTTGGGGTCCCTGATCCCGGGATTTGGGGTCCCTGATACCGGGATTTGGGGTTTGGGGTCCCTGATCCCCACATTTGGGATTTGGGGTCCCTGATCCCGGGATTTGATGTTTGGGGTCCCTGATCCCCACATTTGGGATTTGGGGTCCCTGATCCCGGATTTGGGGTCCCTGATCCCCACATTTGGGATTTGGGGTCCCTGATCCCGGGATTTGGGGTCCCTGATCCCAGGATTTGGGGTCCCTGATCCCCACATTTGGGATTTGGGGTTCCTGATCCCGGGATTTGGGGTCCCTGATCCCCACATTTGGGATTTAGGGTCCCTGATCCCGGGATTTGGGGTCCCTGATCCCGGATTTGGGGTCCCTGATCCCGGGATTTGGGGTCCCTGATCCCGGATTTGGGGTCCCTGATCCCCCCATTTGGGGTTTGGGGTCCCTGATCCCAGGATTTGGGGTCCCTGATCCCCCCATTTGGGATTTGGGGTCCCTGATCCTGGGATTTGGGGTTTGGGGTCCCTCATCCCGAATTTGGGGTTCCTGATCCCCACATTTGGGATCTGGGGTCCCTGATCCCGGGATTTGGGGTCCCTGATCCCCACATTTGGGGTTTGGGGTCCCTGATCCCGGATTTGGGATTTGGGGTTCCTGATCCCGGATTTGGGGTCCCTGATCCCGGATTTGGGATTTGGGGTCCCTGATCCCCACATTTGGGGTCCCTGATCCCCACATTTGGGATTTGGGGTCCCTGATCCCGGATTTGGGGTCCCTGATCCCAGGATTTGGGGTCCCTGATCCCCACATTTGGGATTTGGGGTCCCTGATCCCGGATTTGGGGTCCCTGATCCCGGGATTTGGGGTTTGGGGTCCCTGATCCCGGGATTTGGGGTTCCTGATCCCCACATTTGGGATTTGGGGTCCCTGATCCCGGGATTTGGGGTCCAAAATCCCAAAATGGTTGGGGATCCTGAAATTCTGAGCCCGGGATTTGGGGTTTGGGGTTCCTGATCCCAGGATTTGGGGTCCCTGATCCCCACATTTGGGATTTGGGCTCCGCAGAATTTGGGGTTTTGGGGTTCAGGGGATTTGGGGTTTGAGGTTTTACCCCAAAATCCCAAAAATTGGGGATTTGGGGGGTTCAGCCCCCGCAGTTCCTGCAGAAATTCCCGCTGGGAAAGGCGGGTGCGGACACCGGGATTTGGGATTTGGGGTCCTGATCCCAGGATTTGGGGTTCAGGGGATTTGGGGTTTGAGGTTCCACCCCAAAAATTGGGGGTTTGGGGGGTTCAGCCCCCGCAGTTCCTGCAGAAATTCCCGCTGGGAAAGGCGGGTGCGGACACCGGGATTTGGGATTTGGGGTTCCTGATCCCGGATTTGGGGTTCCTGATCCCCACATTTGGGATTTGGGGTTCCTGATCCTGGGATTTGGGGTCTGCAGAATTTGGGGGTTTGAGGTTTTACCCCAAAACCCCAAAAATTGGGGATTTGGGGGGTTCAGTTCCTGCAGAAATTCCCGCTGGGAAAGGTGGGTGCTGACACCGGGATTTGGGATTTGGGGGTTCTGAGACCGGGATTTGGGGTTCAGGGGATTTGGGGTTTGAGGTTTCACCCCAAAATCCCAAAAATTTGGGAGTTTGGGGGGTTTGAATCCTGAAATTCCTGGTGGGAAAGGGGGGTCCTGAGCCCGGGATTTGGGGTTCCTGAACCCCACATTTGGGATTTGGGGTTCCTGAACCTGGGATTTGGGGTTCCTGATCCCCACATTTGGGATTTGGGGTCTGCAGAACTTGGGGGTTTGGGGTTCAGGGGATTTGGGGTTTGAGGTTCCATCCCAAAAATTGGGGATTTGGGGGGTTCAGCCCCCGCAGTTCCTGCAGAAATTCTCGCTGGGAAAGGTGGGTGCTGACTCCGGGATTTGGGATTTGGGGGTTCTGATTCTGGAATTTGGGGGTCCTGAGACCGGGATTTGGGGTTTGGGGGTCCTGATTCTGGAATTTGGGGTTCAGGGGATTTGGGGTTTGAGGTTTTACCCCAAAATCCCAAAAATTGGGGATTTGGGAGGTTCAGCCCCCGCAGTTCCTGCAGAAATTCCCGCTGGGAAAGGCGGGTGCTGACACCGGGATCCGGGATTTGGGGGTCCTGAGACCGGGATTTGGGGGTCCTGATCCTGGGATTTGGGGTTCCTGATCCCCACATTTGGGGTTTGGGGTCCCTGATCCTGGGATTTGGGGTTCCTGATCCCCACATTTGGGATTTGGGGTCCCTGATCCTGGGATTTGGGATTTGGGGTCCCTGATCCCCACATTTGGGGTTTGGGGTTCCTGATCCCGGGGTTTGGGGTTTGGGGTCCCTGATCCCGGATTTGGGGTCCCTGATCCCCCCATTTGGGATTTGGGGTCCCTGATCCCCCCATTTGGGATTTGGGGTCCCTCATCCCAGGATTTGGGGTTTGGGCTCTGCAGAATTCGGGATTTGGGGTTCAGGGGATTTGGGGTTTGAGGTTCCACCCCAAAAATTGGGATTTTGGGGGGTTCAGACCATGCAGTTCCTGCAGAAATTCCCGCTGGGAAAGGCGGGTGCTGACACCGGGATTTGGGGTTTGGGGTCCTGAGACCGGGATTTGGGGTTTGGGGTCCCTGATCCCAGGATTTGGGGTTCCTGATCCCCACATTTGGGATTTGGGGTCCCTGATCCCGGGATTTGGGGTTCCTGATCCCCACATTTGGGATTTGGGGTCCCTGATCCCGGATTTGGGGTTTGGGGTTCCTGATCCCGGATTTGGGGTCCCTGATCCCGGGATTTGGGGTTTGGGCTCTGCAGAATTCGGGATTTGGGGTTCAGGGGATTTGGGGTTTGAGGTTCCACCCCAAAATCCCAAAAATTGGGGATTTGGGAAGATCTGAACCCCCAAATTTGGGATTTGGGGTTCCAGAGGGTTTGGGGTTCTCCCCGTGGTGCCCCAAAATCCGGGAATGTCGGGGGGATCCCGGATTTGGGGCATTTTGGGGCATTTTGGGGGAATTTGAGGTTTTTGAGGGGGTTTTTGGGGTGGGAATTGAAAGTTTCGGGGTTTTGGGGTGTGAATTTAAAGGATTTGGGGTGAAAATTCAAGGTTTTGGGGTGCAAATTGAAAGGTTTTGGGGTTTTTGGGGTGAGAATTGAAAGGTTTTTGAGGTGAAAATTTAAAGTTTTGGGATTTTGGGGTGAGAATTTAAAGGATTTGGGAGCTTTAGGGTGGGAATTTAAAATTTTGAGGTTTTTGGGTGAGAATTTAAAGATTTTTGGGGTGAAAATTTAAAGTTTTGGGGTTTTTGGGGTGGGAATTGAAGATTTTGGGGTTTTGGGTGGGAATTCAAAGGTTTTGGGGTGAAAATTCAAGGTTTTGGGGTTTTTGGGGTGAGAATTGAAAGGTTTTGGTGGCTTTAGGGTGAGAATTTAAAATTTTGGGGTTTTTGGGGTGAGAATTGAAAGGTTTTGGGGTGAAAATTTAAAGTTTTGGGGTTTTTGGGGTGCAAATTTAAAGGTTTTGGGGTGGGAATTTAAAATTTTGGGGGGTTGGGGTGGGAATTTAAAGATTTTTGGGGTAAAAATTTGAAGTTTTGGGGTGGGAATTGAAAGGTTTTGGGGTTTTTGGGGTGGGAATTGAAAGTTTTGGGGTTTTGGGGTGAGAATTTAAAGGTTTTTAGGGACTTTAGGATGGGAATTGAAAGGTTTGGGGTTTTTGGGGTGAGAATTTAAAGATTTTTGGGGTGAAAATTGAAAGGTTTTGGGGTTTTTGGGGTGGGAATTGAAAGGTTTTGGGGTGAAAATTGAAAGTTTTGGGGTTTTTGGGGTGGGAATTGAAAGTTTTGGGGTTTTTGGGGTGCAAATTTAAAGGTTTTGGGTGGGAATTTAAGATTTTGGGGGGTTGGGGTGGGAATTGAAAGGTTTTTGGGGTTTTTGAGTTGGGAATTGAAAGTTTTTTGGGGGTGGGAATTGAAAATTTGGAGTTTTTTTGGGGTGGAAATTTAAAAGTTCGATGGTTTTTGGGTGGGAATTCAAAGGTTTTGGGTGGGAATTCAAAGGTTTTGGGGTTTTGGGGTGCAAATTGAAAGGTTTTGGGGTGGGAATTGAAAGTTTTGGGGTTTATGGGGTGGGAATTTAAAGGTTTTGGGGTGGGAATTTAAGATTTTGGGGTTTTTGGGGTGGGAATTGAAAGTTTTTTGGGGGTGGGAATTGAAAATTTGGAGTTTTTTTGGGGTGGAAATTTAAAAGTTCGATGGTTTTTGGGTGGGAATTCAAAGGTTTTGGGGTGGGAATTGAAAGTTTTCGGGGTGTTTTTGGTGTTTTTTGGTGTTTTTAGGCTGTTTTTGGTGTTTTTGGGATGTTTTTGGTGTTTTTCAGTGTTTTTAGGCTGTTTTTGGGGTGGTTTTGGGGTGTTTTTAGGCTGTTTTTGGGGTGTTTATTGTGTTTTTAGGCTGTTTTCGGGGTGTTTTTGGGGTGTTTTCGGGGTGTTTTAGGGGTGTTTTAAGGCTGTTTTTGGGTGTTTTTAGGCTGTTTTTGGGTGTTTTTAGGCTGTTTTTGGTGTTTTTAGGCTGTTCTCGGTGGTTTTTGGGTGTTTTTAGGCTGTTTTTGGTGTTTTTAGGCTGTTCTCGGTGGTTTCGGGGTGTTTTTAGGCTGTTTTTGGTGGTTTTGGGTGTTTTTAGGCTGTTTTCGGGGTGGTTTTGGGTGTTTTTAGGCTGTTTTCGGGGTGTTTTTAGGCTGTTTTTCGTGTTTTTAGGCTGTTTTTGGGTGTTTTTAGGCTGTTTTTGGTGGTTTTGGGGTGTTTTTAGGCTGTTTTTGGGGTGTTTTTGGGGTGTTTTCGGGGTGTTTTTAGGCTGTTTTCGGGGTGTTTTTGGGTGTTTTTAGGCTGTTTTTGGTGTTTTTGGGGTGTTTTTGGTGGTTTTGGGGTGTTTTTAGGCTGTTTTTGGGGTGTTTTTTGGTGTTTTCGGTGTTTTTGAGCTCCCACCCCTCCTTTCCCCGTGCAGGTTCCGGCCTTCGAGGGCGATGACGGATTCTGCGTCTTCGAGAGCAACGCCATCGCCTACTACGGTGCGTTAATTAGCCTAATTGGGCCCTTAATTAGCTCTAATTAACCCTGGGGTCCATTTCTCCGGGCTAATTAACACCCCTGGGTTAATGAGTTAACCCTTCGCTGCCCTCAGCCAGCCTTGCACAGCTCCTGAGCAAATCTCCCTGCTCCTTAACGAGTTCCTCCCCTAATTAATGATTCTTCTGGTTAATTAATTATTCTCCTGGCTAATTAATTAGTCTCCTGGGTTATTAATTAATCTGCTGGGTTATTAATTAATCTCCTGGGTTATTAATTAACCCCTCAGTGAGCACGGAGGAGCTGTGGGGCAGCACCAACATCAATCCCCCCTTGGCTGAATGTCCCTTAACGAGATCCTTTACTCATTACCGTGTCTCTTAGCTAATTAATGAGTCCCTCCCCTAATTAACCCTTCTCCTGGCTAATTACGACCCTGTTGATTAACGAATTAACCCCTTCCTGCCCCCAGTGGGCACAGAGGAGCTCCAACATCGACCCCCCCTTAGCGAGCGTCTTGTCCCTTAACGAGATTGTCTACTCATTATTGTGTCCTTTAGCTAATTAACGATGCTCCCGGCTAATTAACCATGCTCCTGGCTAATTAATGACACTCCTGATTAACGAATTAACCCTTTCCTGCCCTCAGTGAGCACAGAGGAGCTGCGGGGCAGCACCAACATCAATCCCCCCTTCACTTCCTTTACTGCTTACCATGTCTCTTATCTAATTAACGATTCCCTTACCTGATTAACGATGCTCCTGGCTAATTAATGACCCTCCTGGCTAATGAATTAACCCTTTCCTGCCCTCAGTGAGCACGGAGGAGCTGCGGGGCAGCACCAACACCCTTTAGTTATCATCCCTTAACGGGTTCCTTTGCTCCTTACCGTGTCCCTTACCTGATTAATGAATCCCTTACCTAATTAACGATGCTCCTGGCTAATTAACGAGGCTCCTGGCTAATGAATTAACCCTTTCCTGCCCTCAGTGAGCACGGAGGAGCTGCGGGGCAGCACCAACATCAATCCCCCCTTGGCTGAATGTCCCTTAATGAGATCCTTTACTCATTACCGTGTCTCTTAGCTAATTAATGACCCTCCTGGCTAATTAATGACCCTCCTGGCTAATTAATGACCCCCCTGGCTAATTAATGACCCTCCTGATTAACGAATTAACCCCTTCCTGTCCCCAGTGAGCACAGAGGAGCTGCGTGGCAGCACCAACATCAATCCCCCCTTGGCGATCATCGCTTAATGAACTCCTTTACTCATTACCGTGTCTCTTACCTAATTAACGATGCTCCTGGCTAATTAACGAGGCTCCTGGCTAATGAATTAACCCCTTCCTGCCCTCAGTGAGCACGGAGGAGCTGCGGGGCAGCACCAACACCCTTTAGTTATCATCCCTTAACGAGTTCCTTTGCTCCTTACCATGTCCCTTACCTAATTAATGACCCTCCTGGCTAATTAACGACGCTCCTGGCTAATTAATGACCCTCCTGGTTAATGAATTAACCCCTTCCTGCCCTCAGTGAGCACGGAGGAGCTGCGGGGCAGCACCAACATCAATCCCCCCTTCACTTCCTTTACTCTTTACCCTGTCTGTTACCTAATTAACGATTCTCCTGGCTAATTAACGATTCTCCTGGCTAATTAACGACCCTCCTGGCTAATTAAGGACTCTCCTGGCTAATGAATTAACCCCTTCCTGCCCTCAGTGAGCACGGAGGAGCTCCAACATCAATCCCCCCTTCACTTCCTTTACTCCTTACCGTGTCTCTTACCTAATTAATGAATCCCTTACCTAATTAACGATGCTCCTGGCTAATTAATGACGCTCCTGATTAATGAATTAACCCTTTCCTGTCCGCAGTGAGCACGGAGGAGCTGCGGGGCAGCACCAACATCAATCCCCCCTTCACTTCCTTTGCTCCTTACCATATCTGTTATCTAATTAATGACTCTCATACCTAATTAACGACCCTCCTGGCTAATTAACGAGGCTCCTGATTAACAAATTAACCCTTTCCTGTCCGCAGTGAGCACGGAGGAGCTGCGGGGCAGCACCAACACCCCTTAGTTATCATCCCTTAACGAGTTCCTTTGCTCCTTACCGTGTCTGTTACCTGATTAATGAATCCCTTACCTAATTAACGACGCTCCTGGCTAATTAATGACGCTCCTGATTAATGAATTAACCCCTTCCTGCCCGCAGTGAGCACGGAGGAGCTGCGGGGCAGCACCAACATCAATCCCCCCTTGGCTGAATGTCCCTTACCGTGTCTGTTACCTGATTAACGTGTCCCTTACCTAATTAACGACCCTCCTGGCTAATTAATGACCCTCCTGGCTAATTAAGGACCCTGTTGATTAATGAATTAACCCTTTCCTGCCCTCAGTGAGCACGGAGGAGCTGTGGGGCAGCACCAACATCAATCCCCCCTTAGCGATCATTGCTTAATGAACTCCTTTACTCATTACCGTGTCTGTTACCTAATTAACGACCCTCCTGGCTAATTAACGAGGCTCCTGATTAAGGAATTAACCCTTTCCAGTGAGCACGGAGGAGCTGCGGGGCAGCACCAACATCAATCCCCCCTTGGCTGAATGTCCCTTACCCTGTCTGTTACCTGATTAATGAATCCCTTACCTAATTAACGATGCTCCTGGCTAATTAACGAGGCTCCTGATTAACGAATTAACCCCTTCCTGCCCGCAGTGAGCACGGAGGAGCTGCGGGGCAGCACCAACATCAATCCCCCCTTCACTTCCTTTGCTCCTTACCATATCTGTTATCTAATTAATGACTCTCATACCTAATTAACGATGCTCCTGGTTAATTAACGAGGCTCCTGGCTAATGAATTAACCCTTTCCTGCCTGCAGTGAGCACGGAGGAGCTGCGAGGCAGCACCAACGTCAATCCCCCCTTGGCTGAATGTCCCTTACCCTGTCTGTTACCTGATTAATGAATCCCTTACCTAATTAACGATGCTCCTGGCTAATTAACGAGGCTCCTGATTAACGGATTAACCCTTTCCTGCCCCCAGTGAGCACGGAGGAGCTGCGGGGCAGCACCAACATCAATCCCCCCTTAGCGATCATCGCTTAATGAGCTCCTTTACTCATTACCGTGTCTGTTACCTAATTAACGATGCTCCTGGCTAATTAACGAGGCTCCTGATTAACGAATTAACCCCTTCCTGCCCTCAGTGAGCACGGAGGAGCTGCGGGGCAGCACCAACATCAATCCCCCCTTGGCTGAATGTCCCTTACCCTGTCTGTTACCTAATTAACGATTCCCCTGGTTAATTAATGACCCTCCTGGCTAATTAATGACGCTCCTGATTAATGAATTAACCCCTTCCTGCCCTCAGTGAGCACGGAGGAGCTGTGAGGCAGCACCAACATCAATCCCCCCTTAGCGATCATTGCTTAATGAACTCCTTTACTCATTACCGTGTCTCTTACTTAATTAATGACCCTCCTGGCTAATTAATGACCCTGTTGATTAATGAATTAACCCTTTCCTGCCCGCAGTGAGCACGGAGGAGCTGCGGGGCAGCACCAACATCAATCCCCCCTTGGCTGAATGTCCCTTACCGTGTCTGTTACCTGATTAACGTGTCCCTTACCTAATTAACGACCCTCCTGGCTAATTAATGACCCTCCTGGCTAATTAAGGACCCTGTTGATTAATGAATTAACCCTTTCCTGCCCTCAGTGAGCACGGAGGAGCTGTGGGGCAGCACCAACATCAATCCCCCCTTAGCGATCATTGCTTAATGAACTCCTTTACTCATTACCGTGTCTGTTACCTAATTAACGACCCTCCTGGCTAATTAATGACCCTCCTGATTAATGAATTAACCCCTTCCTGCCCGCAGTGAGCACGGAGGAGCTGCGGGGCAGCACCAACATCAATCCCCCCTTGGCTGAATGTCCCTTAACGAGATCCTTTACTCATTACCGTGTCTCTTACCTAATTAACGATGCTCCTGGCTAATTAACGAGGCTCCTGGCTAATGAATTAACCCCTTCCTGCCCTCAGTGAGCACGGAGGAGCTGCGGGGCAGCACCAACATCAATCCCCCCTTCACTTCCTTTACTCTTTACCCTGTCTGTTACCTAATTAACGATTCTCCTGGCTAATTAACGATTCTCCTGGCTAATTAACGACCCTCCTGGCTAATTAAGGACTCTCCTGGCTAATGAATTAACCCCTTCCTGCCCTCAGTGAGCACGGAGGAGCTCCAACATCAATCCCCCCTTCACTTCCTTTACTCCTTACCATGTCTCTTACCTAATTAACGACCCTCCTGGCTAATTAAGGACCCTCCTGGCTAATTAACGAGGCTCCTGATTAATGAATTAACCCTTTCCTGTCCCCAGTGAGCACGGAGGAGCTGCGGGGCAGCACCAACATCAATCCCCCCTTCACTTCCTTTGCTCCTTACCATATCTGTTATCTAATTAATGACTCTCATACCTAATTAACGACCCTCCTGGCTAATTAACGAGGCTCCTGATTAACGAATTAACCCTTTCCTGCCCTCAGTGAGCACGGAGGAGCTGCGGGGCAGCACCAACACCCCTTAGTTATCATCCCTTAACGAGTTCCTTTGCTCCTTACCGTGTCTGTTACCTAATTAACGATGCTCCTGGCTAATTAAGGACCCTGCTGATTAACGAATTAACCCCTTGCTGCCCTCAGTGAGCACGGAGGAGCTGCGGGGCAGCACCAACATCAATCCCCCCTTCACTTCCTTTACTCCTTACCGTATCTGTTATGTAATTATTGAATCCCTTACCTAATTAAGGACCCTCCTGGCTAATTAACGAGGCTCCTGATTATCGAATTAACCCCTTCCTGTCCCCAGTGAGCACGGAGGAGCTGCAGGGCAGCACCAACACCCCTTAGTTATCATCCCTTAACGAGTTCCTTTGCTCCTTACCGTGTCTCTTACCTAATTACTGAATCCCTTACCTAATTAATGACCCTCCTGGCTAATTAAGGACTCTCCTGGCTAACGAATTAACCCCTTCCTGCCCTCAGTGAGCACGGAGGAGCTGCGGGGCAGCACCAACATCAATCCCCCCTTGGCTGAATGTCCTTTAACGAGATCCTTTAGCTTTTACCATGTCTCTTACCTAATTAACGATGCTCCTGGCTAATTAATGACCCTCCTGGCTAATGAATTAACCCTTTCCTGCCCGCAGTGAGCACGGAGGAGCTGTGGGGCAGCACCAACATCAATCCCCCCTTCACTTCCTTTACTCTTTACCCTGTCTGTTACCTGATTAACGATTCTCCTGGCTAATTAATGACCCTCCTGGCTAATTAACGAGGCTCCTGATTAATGAATTAACCCTTTCCTGCCCTCAGTGAGCACGGAGGAGCTGCGGGGCAGCACCAACATCAATCCCCCCTTCACTTCCTTTACTCCTTACCGTATCTGTTATGTAATTATTGAATCCCTTACCTAATTAACGATTCCCCTGGCTAATTAAGGACCCTGCTGATTAACGAATTAACCCTTTCCTGCCCGCAGTGAGCACGGAGGAGCTGCGGGGCAGCACCAACATCAATCCCCCCTTCACTTCCTTTGCTCCTTACCGTGTCCGTTATGTAATTAACGATTCTCCTGCCTAATTAAGGACCTTCCTGGCTAATTAACGAGGCTCCTGATTATCGAATTAACCCTTTCCTGTCCCCAGTGAGCACGGAGGAGCTGTGGGGCAGCACCAACATCAATCCCCCCTTAGCGATCATTGCTTAATGAACTCCTTTACTCATTACCGTGTCTCTTACTTAATTAATGACCCTCCTGGCTAATTAATGACCCTGTTGATTAATGAATTAACC